GAAGACCAAACCCAAATCTTAGACTAGGTGGTAGATGGTAGTTTTAAATATGGACAGATGTCTTTGGATAAGGCTAAGAAATAAATCTAGAATAATAATAATGAGCATTCTATACATAAATGACCACTAATTTTTATGGAGTGCTTTCTGTGGGCCAGATAATTCTTACAGCTTTATTTGAAGTATCTGATATGATCTTTATCAAAATACATGAGGGAGGTACTATTATCACCTAATTTTTCTAGATAAGGAAACTGATACTCAGTGGTTATAGAACTTGCATAAGGAGAAATAGCTTAGTAGAGACTGAACTTGGACACCATTCTAATTGTTAAGACAGTAGCCTTTATCATTAGGCACTATTACATCTTGCATCTTTTCCCCCGAGTATTGGAGACTGAACTCAGGGGCTTATGCACGCTAGGAAAGTGCACTACCACTAAGATGCATCCCCAGCCATTTTTATTATATTTCTGAAACAAGAGTCTCAGCAAGTTGCCTAAGCTGGCCTTGAACTTAAGATCCTCCTCTCTTAGCCTCCTGCCCCGGCCCGCGGGGTCAGTAATTGGCAGAGCTCGAGAAGGGGAAGTACCTGGAAATGAGACAAGAGGGGCGCGGAAAGAAGGAGACCAAGCAAAGAGTTGTCAAGGTCTCATTTATTTGCAGATACAGGCAGTTTATAAAGGCAAAAACCGCAAAATTGTAAGAGGAAATAGTTAACCATAAACTTTGGGAGGAGAATGTAACAATAGTATAACACAATGTTACTATGTAACGGATCAGGTCACTTGTCTGCGCAAACCCGTTGTCATGGGTAACGACACAACTGTGGTGGTGGGGTGATCAGCGGGTCGACATGGAGACTGTTTGGTTTTTACTTAGGACAGGCTAGCAGCTTAGTCTACCACAGCCTCCCACATAGCTGGGATTATAGGCTTGTGCCCCAGTACCTGGCACTTCTTTGCACCTTAACAGTGCCCAGCTAGGTTTTGGGGTATAGATTTCATACTGAATTCTCTGCATGAACCTATATGACCTGAACATCTTAGCTTCCATAAACCGAGTAAAGGCTCCTTTAGAGCAGCTAACACTTTTTCAGTGTTGAAGAAAAAGTTTCAAAGGAAAAAGTGTTGATTCAAGGCCTGGTCCAGTCTGTTCTGGTTATAACATTTAATAACAGAATTGCTATGTGGTTCCCAGCCATCTGCCAAGTCTTTCCCTTCAAATTCAGAAGAGAATTACCCACTCACTTATCACTTACCACTTTTCTTTTCCCATGCTTTACCTTCTTTCCCAGGAGAGGCAGTCCACTCTGGTAGAATATCTGCTTCTTTCCGGTCAGACTTTTGTAACATTCCCTGTGCTATTTTTATTTTTTGTTTTGTTTTGTTTTGGTACCGGGGATTGAACTTGGGTCCTTGTGTTTGCAAGGCAGGTGGCAGAACCACTGAGCTACATCCCTCGCCCCCGCTGTGCTATTTTTGTGTATAGCTTTGTGACCTTGATCCAATTATTTAATATTTCATAATCCATCAAATAGAAATAATGATATATGCCTTGCAGAGTTGTTGTAAAGATTAGAGCTTATGTTTCTACTTCTCAGGCATGGACTAGATCTTAATAAAATGAGCTTTTTTTTCTCTAGAATCTTGATATAATTTAATTGGACAAGTATTTATTAGCATCTAATCTGTGCTAGACTCTGCTGAGACACTGATCATATTTTTATGTTTTAACAAAACAGTATCTCTGAATTCAGAAATTGCATGGTGTAAGAAATGAGAATGACATATGAATAAGAACAGAAATTTGCTAAGTACAATACAGAAGTTTGTAAAGAGTTAGAAGCAGTTATTTTTCCATCCCTGTTGTAGTTTCCAAGTTTGTTTTTAATACTTGGTAGTAAAGATAGGGGACAAGTACAAGGGAGTAGGGAGAAAACCGTTAAGAGATTTAGTAATCTTTCATATGCCAAGCTTTTAAGAATTGATTTCAGGAAAGCACTTGGTGAATCTCTCATGAAGTTCTTATACATTTGATGGAGAATGTGTAGGCTGGCTAATAGGAGGTGACTTTGAAGCTGATTCTACAACCGTGTCCTGGATGTTTTCCTCTTGTAGTACTTTTAATTCTTTTCGAAAATCTGGATTGGAAGCAACCTTAGAAATAGGTCCCATACTCTAACCTGTGCTTAAGGCTTTTTATAATCTGCCCTTCTATTAATTTTTAATTCAACAGTGCAAAATAGTATACTGTGTAAAAATGTTTCCTTCCTTTTCCAGCCCCCCAGTGTTCCTGTCTTCCAAGTAGCAAAAACATTGTTATTTGCTTCTGTATATGATATTTATTTCTCATACAGATCTCATATTTGTGTTTATTATGCCTATCTCTTTATACCTGTGTTATATATGGTATTTTCAGTGCATGTGGTATCTTTAGTAAACTCTTAAGTTCCTTGAGAGAAAGGGCCCTGCTTCAGTGTTTTTAGAGCTCCCCAAATTACTTGCATATTGATGAATCATTATAGAAAGGAAAGTTAGACCAGAGAGAAGACAAGCTTCTCTGATGACATGTCATAGTTTTCTGTCCTTGACTATTCTTTACAACCATTTTTTCCCCAGTGTTAGATGAAGATATAGAAAGCATGCTTGTCATGTATGCAGTTGACACAAAGCTGGAAAAAAGCTAATAACATCGAATGACAGAATCATGACTGCAGATGATCACAACATTCTGGATTGTTCAGCTGAAAAGAATAGGGACAAATTTACAGTACTGTGTTTAAGAAGTTAAAAATACCCAACAGGGCTGGGGATTTGGCTCAGTGGTTCTACCGCCTGCCTTGCAAGTACAAGGTCCCGAGTTCAATCCCCAGTACCAAAAACAAAACAAAATAAATAAATAAAAATATCCAACAACTTAGTTATCTGTAGAACTAAGAGATCTATCTTGGTAATATTTTATTTGAAGATGATTTGGGAGATGAGAGGATGAATCTTAATTGCCTTTAAGTTCAATCAAAGACAGTAGTGTATGAGGATTATCAATAAAGCAAGCAGAGCCTTGAGTATCCTAGTAGAATGTGAATCAAGATGCAGCTCATGGCTCTTCTGTGCTCTTTACTAGTCAGACTTCTTGCTGTGTGTTAGGTTCAGTTTGGGAGTGGCACACATAAAAGAAAAACTGACAAATTGGAGTATGTCTCAAGATAACTAAGAAGATGTAAAGCATGAATATAGATTCTATTCTGGTTTTACTATTTATCACTTGGTAATGCTTGGTGAAGTCAACCTTTTAATTTTGTTTCCATCCCTTTAAAATGGGGCAGAAGTAGTAATACCAATCTGGAGAATCATCCTAAGGATTAGAGCCAATGAAGGCAATTTAAAGGTTTTTATAGTTCAAGTCTTAATAGGAATTAGATGTAGTCCCTCCTCTGAAAGAGGTTACGTTTTAGAGGATTAGACAACTGAGTAAATCCAAGATTATAATGCAAGTTGTGACTTACGGAAAAGGCAGTAAATTAATTTATACAACCCCCAGTAAATGCAGACTGAGCTAGATTGACATATAGAAATACACGGTTTCCCGAGGACAGTGTTGGTGAACCTTTTAGAGATGAGTGCCCAAACTGCAGCCTAAAACCTGCTTATTTATTGCAGAGTGCCAACACTGCAATTAAACCTGAATACTGAGGTTTTAGTTTAGGAAAAACAGCTCATACATTAACATCTTTTGTCTTAAAAGAAAAAGAAATAACATGCGCACCATAGATTCACCACCACTGCCCTAGGAGAAAACGAACTTCTTTTATAGTGAAGATTAGACTATATGATTACTTATCAGGGATGTTTATAGAAGGTATTTTTGTATGAGTGGGAGTTGCTGGTGTTGTTTTGTTTTGTTTTGTTTTGTTTTGTTTTGTTTGTACCAGGGATTGAACTCGAGATCTTGCACTTGCGAGGCAGGTGGTAGCACCACTGAGCTAAATCCCCAGCCCTGAGTATGAGGTTTTACTCGAAGGATGGACAAACTATGGCCAGCCATGGGCCAAACTCAGCCAGATACTGATCACTATAAAGTTTGGAACACAGCCATGCCCGTTATCTCCAAGTCAACACTTCCTACCACAATGCAGGATTGAATAGTTGTAATAGAGACCACGTGGCCTTCTGAGCCTAAAGTATGTACCATGTGGACCATCTGGGACTCACAGAAAAAGTTTGCTGACCCATGGTCTAGATAAATAATTCACAGCTTAAGTTATTTCATGAGCTAGTAACCTTTCTAAATTCTCTGTTGTGGGGATTTCATGTATTAGGAGGAAGACGTACCAGATTTCACTTGAAATGGTCAGTGTTCTTGTTATGGCAAGGAATAAAGCTTGGAAAATACTTGATTAAATAAACTTTAAAGGAACTGTGATGTTATAAACAGGCATCGTTTGGTGTGAGGCACGTTTGTACGTTAACTGGATCAAAATCATCTATACCCACTAGAAGTAGAAGGTGGTATTAGTATAGTGGAAAAGACTGGTGTTAACTCTTCTGAAGAGAAATTTTCTTACTTATAAATAGAACACTGTAGAATTTTGTAGATTGGAGCTTATGTAGGTGATTAGATATAGCTATCATTACTATATTTTGTAGAGTATTTCATTGCATTGTGTTATATTAAGTAGAATAGTGGTTGGGAAAGTATAAATCCTTCACTTGATTTCTGCAAGTTGGGATAGTACACAAAAACCTTTCTTGGAGTGAACTAGATATTTAGATCTCGAGGCTTAGCAAATAGGTGAATATCTTGTGGTTGGCAATTTCAGTACACATGTAACAGGTGTTATCCTCAGTACTGGAAAGTTTGAGGCTTTGCAGACAGTGTGCTTCTTCCCACAGAGTAAAGTTTTAACTTTGCTTTTTTCTATACGTTTTTGTCTTTCATATTAAGAGTCTATTGTCAGCTTACAATATATATATATATATATATTTTTTTTTTTGAAGTGTTGACTCGGAGACAAAGAGAGGCCAAGAGCAAGAGTGACAGAGGGACAGCTGCACAGACTTTCCTAGACATTGACAAGTAAGTAGGTGTGCTGCATTCACTGAGTTCTTGTGTAACGTGTCATTGCTTTAACCAAATAAAGATACCAGTTTCTATCTCATCCTGTATTTCTTTGGCCTGCCAGTCACTGTATTGTTTGGATGCTTCAATTTCTTTTTCTTATTCCATTTATGACAGTGTAGTTCATATCTGTATCCCTTTTCAGTACACTAAAAATGATCCTGCCACCCACTCCAGTTCCATATTGCTCTTAGGTTTCTGTTTTTGTTGAATTTGTAAGTTGGCTTTTGATGCTTTGGGGAAGCAGTGAGCATATTGTTGTGTAATGGTATAGAAGTTGAGTTGCAAAAGGTTGGGCAACATAGACTTCCTTGGGTTGTTGGTTGCAGCTTGACTTGAGAAAGCCTGTTATACGGAAGGAATCAGATGAAGGTACTGCATCCTGAATGCAAAGATTTTACCAACAGTATATTAGAGCAGAAACTTTCAGGGTTTTTTTCTTTATTTTTCAGAATTGATAAATGAAAACATGATATTTTGATGCATATATACACACTAATGTTGAAATCAAGTTACACACATTTCCTCAAATAGTCACCATTTCTTTTTGGTGAAACCCCTTTCTTCTATTTTTTTTAAAATATACAGTATATTATCTGCAGTCACCTACTGTGCAATAGTGTACCAGAACTTCCTACTCCTCTTACTTAGTGGCCATTGATCAACTTCTCCCCATCCCTCTACCTCCTATTCTCCCCAACCCATGGTAACCACTATTCTATTCTCAACTTGTATGAAATCAACTTTTTTATATTCCAAGTTTGTGATGTTTGACTTTTTGGCTTTGTCTTATTTTACTTAATGAAATACTCTCCAGTTCCATTTATGTTGTCATAAAGGACAAGATTTTATTCTTTTTATTGCGGAATAGTATTCCACTATGTATATGTGCCGCATTTTCTTTATTCATTCATTCTTTGTTGAATATTTAGGTCATTTCCATTTCTTAGCTATTGTGAATAGTGCTGTAGCAAACCCGAGAATGCAGATATCTTTTTGACATACTGATTTTATTTCCTGATTTTATACCCAGGAGTAGAACCATGTTTATTTTTAATTTTTTGAGGAACCTCCATACTGTTTTCCATAATGGTTTTACTAATTTACATTCCCACCAGCAATGAGCAGGGATTCTATTTTCTCCACATCCTTTCAGCATTTATCAGCATTTTATCTTTTTGATAATAGCTAACCTTACTTGAGATACCTCTTTGTGTTTTTGTATTTGCAAGTCTCTGATTATTAGTAACATTGAACATATTTTCATACACTTTGTTGGCCATTTGTGTGTCTTCTTTTGTTTGTTTGCTTTTGTTTTTTGAGATAGAGTCTCACTATGTAGTTCACACTGGCTCTGAACTCACTGTGTAGCCTGGGCTGGTCCTGCACTTCGGGCAGTCCTCCTGTCTCAGCCTCCCTAGCACTGTGATTACAGGTGTGTGCAGATATTTTTCCCATTCTGTAGGTTTTCTTCTCACTCTGTTGATGATTTCCTAGAAACTTTTATATTTGGAACAAATATCTTAGACTCTAAATTTCAGAGTTGTCATCCCTAATCCAGTTGAGCAGAACTGATCACTTCCTTCTTTGGAATTCCACTGCATTATAAATATTCCTCTAGGACTATATTCCTCACATAGTATTACAGGTTTGTTTTTAACATTTTTGTGTCCCTGGCTAGGCTGTGAGTTATTTGATGGCAGGCATTTGTTTTCATTCATGTTTATATCTTGTGCATCTAATAAAATGTGTAAGACAGCAATAGCAGTTTAGATATTTATTTAAATTTATGTATGCATGTATGTATGAATGTAGTTTTGCACTACTGGGGATTGCACCCAGGGGCTCACATCAAACCACATACCCATTTTGTCTGGTTTGGTCTGGTCCATTCCGTTCCGTTCCATTCCATTTCATCCATCCATCCCTCCCTCCATTCCATCCCATCCCATCCCTCCCCTCCATCCATCCATCCATCCATCCATCCTGGTAAGGTCTTGAAAAGTTGCCCAAGATGGCTTTAAACTTGTGATTCTCCTGTTTCTACTTCCTGAGTAGGTGAGATAACAGGCATGTACCACTGTGCCCAGCTCCTTTTTGCTTTGCTTTGCATTGCATTGCATTGCATTGCATTGCTTTGCTTTGCTTTGCTTTGCTTTGCTTTCTTTCTTTTTTTGAAATGAAGATAAATTACTTGTAACTAACTGTTTAAGATCATGAAGCCTAACTAAAGTTTCTCCTTTTTACACAGTGTTGTCTCTTGGGTAGTAGGAATTAATAAGTGTCATTTGCATTCATTGATAAACCACAAAGAGGATACTAGTGTTGCTTTTCTCATAAGGTTGAGTTTACTTGCATTCTTCCAGATAATTAAGTACTTGAGAGGCATGTTTCTCTTATTTTAAAGATCTCCAGAGAAATCCTTCCTTAGAGCTAGTATCTTGCTGTAGTTACCAAATAGTGATGGCTAGAAGTCTTAAGATAGCATGCTTCAGAAAGTTTTCTGTAGCTTCTTAAATCTAAGATGATCTTAAAGGTCAAGCATATATGGGTTCTGATAATTAATAGCTATAGTACCTTAGGGAAAATAGTTCTTTACTAATAGTGCTAAAGAAATAATTGAGAAACTATGTTCACAGGACCTTCCATATATACTGACCATAGAGAAAGTGAACACTTAATAAGTAGTCATCTTATTTTCTCCCCACCCCCGCAAAATTCTGTTTTCACTGATACTCAATAAACCTCATTTCAAGAACACACTTTTTTTTTCTTTCTCAAAACGATGTTGTTGAAAAACAATAAAAATAACTATATGTGAAATCATATAAAAGCCTCTGGCAGACACATATGTTTTTAGTAACCACCTAGTTGTTATAAGTTGTAGAATTAAGGAAGTTAGGATATAGATAAAATTGATTTACTAATCAGATGAGTTCATCTACCCTGGTAAAAATGTCACTTTGATTTAATGCTCTTGTATTCCCTTTTCAGTTTAAATTTTAACTTCCCTTTGAAAACCGATTGCACTTAATTTTAGAAGTTTGACAGAATATTTTATGTCTGAGGAGCAATCAGCATTGTTTGAGATAGTTAGAAGAGCTGATTTCATTACCATCCCACTGCTGCAACAGCAGGGTACAGAGAAACAGCCAGGGAAAACTGCTAATCACTCAGTCCTTTTGATTGGCATCAGGTTAGTTTTATTGGTGATCCTGCTGAGTGAATTTGCATTGGTTGACGTGTCTCCTCCTCAGAATAACTTTGAGATGTAAAAACACAATTTGAGACATAACCAGGAGCCCAGAGGCAAAAGCAAATTTAAAATCTGTTTTTTCTCCCTTCTGATTGGCTAGAGTTGAGAAGTGTTATCTGTGTAAATCCCTGGTCCCATTTGGAGAGTATCAATGCCACGTTGACTCCTGTCTCCAGCTTGCAAGGGGTGACCAAGGAGATGGGCCTGAAGGGAGTGGTAAAGCATGTCCAGTTGTGAAAAGGAAGCGACTGAAGAACTCAAAGGTATGTGTTGAGTGTTTGAGAAAAGGCTACCTAATCCTCCTCATTTAAGAGGCCAAAGTTCTATTTTGGGCTTTTGTTTCTCCCCTCTCTTTATCTTGAAAGGTTATATATGTTAATTGTAGAAAATAATGGACTATTTTCAAGTCTGAACAACCAGGAAAAATCATTACCTGTAATTTAGCTACTCAAAGATAATAACTTAATATTTTGGCCTATTTTCTTCCAGCCTTTTTTCTTATGCATTTTAATGTAATTCATTTTCTCTCTGTCTTTTTCTCTCAGTCCTTTCCTTCCTCCCCCTCTCCCCATCCTTCCTACTGTCTTTATATGCACACACACATATACATATTATATGTATATATGTATGGTATGTACATATATATATATATATACATATATATATAGTATACAGTGTATGTATACTGTAAATTATATATAGAACTGTACTTGCATAATTTTCCATCTTGGGTTTATAAAAACTATATAGTATAAATATCTTTCTGTTTTAGATTATTTAAAAAATTATTTCTAATGTTTGTATCTCATGGATGGACACTTAACCATTATATTATTCAAGATACAGATCCCCCCAGTAGATCTATATATATTATAAGGCTGTTAAAAATATTAGTCAACTTTGTACCAGTAGTTATTAACTTAGATTTCCTGAAGTAGAACTATTAGGCCAGTGGATATAAACATTTTTAAATCTCTTAAAATTATTGCCAAATTGCTTTTCCCTTTGGATTCATAACCTCACTGGTAGGAACACATGTGAGATCAATTCTGTTGAGTTCCTTGTGTTCCCACTCTTAGGAAAATACTGGGTATGGTCCCTGGTCACGGGAAAGATAAATGTACTTTCTGGGCCTTGTGATTAGAGAACAGGAAGACTAAATCTTGACTTAGAGATGAAAAAGTAGGGATTCTGTTTAGGATCATTAACATAGCAATCACTGCATACACTAAGATGAGGACACCATTCTCTGTTATTCCAGGAAAAGGGGACTTGCCAATGAATGAGGTGATTTTGAGGTGGTGTTTGGAGTTGGGGTTTGTAAGATGAGTGTTTACTTATACCAAAGAGCCATTTTGTTCTGGTGTCACTGCCTTTAGAAGCTGCCTCAAAACTGTTATTCTCTATTTTAAATCTCCTGAAATCTGTCATAGATTACAGGCTGCTGTTTTTGATGTGATTTTGGTGGACTGATTTGGCTTGATGCTGCTATCCATTCTTGGATTGTAGTGTTGGCATAGGGATATAATTATCTGTATTATGTTTTCCTTTTTGTGTGTGTGTGTGAGGGTCTACCTTCATTTATTAGAAACTGAAAGACTTTAGAGCTGTGGTACTACAGCTGTTCTCTTCTGGAAAAAAAGTGTGATCTGAGATAAGACAGTTATATTTTAGACTCTGCCATGAACCTTTTCATCTATTTTTCTCTGATGTAGGAAAAAGGCCACAATGAAGGCCGTCTCCTCAATCTCTTGGAACAGTCTGAGCAAAATACTATAGGTAAGTCCCCAGTGATGGATTTTCTAGGTTTCTGTCTAAGGTCTTCCAGTGGAGATACCCACAATCAACCCCTCCTTGAGAGGGTTACGTAAGTGTGCTTTTGGCCCAGTTGGCCAGCTTTTGAGACTAATCTAGGTCATCTCTCCCTAAGGAAAAAGGGGACATACCTTGCCATTCATCATATGTTTTATTTTAGGCTTTATAATCCTGGGATGGGGCTTCCCATTGAACTTAGAAAAAAGATTTCCAAATCACAGGGGAATGATATAAGCCCCATACAGCAGACTTGCAAACATCACTGCCTCCTCTTGATGCCTCCTTGTATAGATTACCTTTAGTTTAGTGTCCTGGCATGTGCTCCTGAGGAGTTGGAGGAAGTAATTCTTCCTTGTGCCTGTTACTTCTAAATAAAATTAGAGTGGGGCCAGGGATTTAGCTCAGTGGTTCTGTCACCTGCCTCAAAAGCACAAGGACCTGAGTTCGATCCCTGGTACCAAAAAAAAAAAAAAAAAAA